TGAAAGAAAAAGAAAAAGTTTAAATTTAATAATATAATAATGGATAATTTTTTTATAGTGTAAAATTTGGTGTTGTGGTTGGAGATGAAAAAACTTTTTTGACACCAAAACACCAAATTTGGTGTAATTTCAACACCAAATATGGTGTCAAGGTTAGATAAAGACTACTTTTTGACCCAAAAAAAAAAAAGAGACATATAAGATTACTTTTTTAGTTAACCAAAAAGAATAAAGAAATAGTAGAGATTTAAAAACTTATTTTTGAGTAAATAATTAGATTAAACGATAGGTTGTCTAAACCGATGAATTTCTAGTGCTTAGTCTTTTTTTACTCTTAAATTTACACTCTAAAACTTGTTCCGAAATATATGAATAGTTTTTGTTTTTATAATAAATTATAAGAATAGTTTCTCTAAGATATTAATCTTTTGAATATAACGGTTTTTATATTATAGGCAGGAGGTCCTTCTTGGAGGGTTCCATTGGGAAGAAGAGACAGCTTACGAGCATTTCTAGATCTCGCTAATCAAAATCTTCCAGCTCCATTCTTCAACCTTACACAACTTAAAGACAGCTTCCGAAATGTTGGTCTTGACCGTCCTTCTGATCTCGTTGCTCTCTCCGGTAATTAACAAAAACAAACTATATTACGTACATTTGATATAGTTGTAAATGTAATTAGCGATTTTGTTATTGATATTATGGTCTTTCTATGGTTAGGGGGCCACACATTTGGTAAAAACCAGTGCCGGTTTATCATGGATAGATTGTACAATTTCAGCAACACCGGTTTACCCGACCCAACCCTCAACACTACGTACCTCCAAACTCTTCGTGGACTATGTCCGCATAATGGTAATCAAAGCGTATTGGTGGATTTTGATCCGCGTACGCCTACAATTTTTGATAACAAATACTATGTGAATCTCAAAGAGCGTAAAGGTCTTATCCAGAGCGACCAAGAGTTGTTCTCTAGCCCTAATGCCAGTGACACAATCCCTTTGGTGAGAGCATACGCTGATGGTCAACAAACATTCTTCAATGCCTTTGTCGAGGCGATGAATAGAATGGGAAACATTACACCTACTACTGGAACTCAAGGACAGATTAGGTTGAATTGTAGGGTGGTGAACTCCAATTCTCTACTCCATGATGCGGTTGAGATCGTTGATGAATTTGTTAGCTCTATGTGAGAATAGTTTACTCCATATGAGGCTATTGAAGTTTTCTTTTGATATGTGGCTATTAGAATATTTGTTAAAATAATAAAACGTATATGCTAAAATAATAAAACGCCTCAAGTTATTACTTGAGAATAATTTATTTTAGACTTCTCCTTTTCTAGATATGTATCACTAGGTGTTGTGTACAAGAAGCTATCGAAAAATGAGTATTATGGCAGACTACATACAATGGTGTTGTAAAATAAAATAAAAATAAACTGTTGAATTGATGCAATGAGTTAGTTGAATAATGTATTGTTAACTATGTGGTAAAAATTGTGTTGTAAACTTACAACATGCGAGAAAAAGGAGGGCCACATGGCCACGGGGCAATTTCTAGTTGGAGCACAATTAGCGTGAAGCGCGTGTAAAATGATTCCATATGCAAAAAAAAATTTATTGGTACACGTTTCTTATTCAGATTGGTTTTTAAGATTTTTAAAATTTTTATCTCATCCAAATATTTGTGCTCAATTATCTGAAGATAA